AAGAGAGGAATATAGAGTTAAAAAAAGGAGGAAAAGAGAGAGAGGAATATAGAGAAGAAAAAGAGGAAAAGAGAAAGAGAGGGAATATAGAGTAAAAAAAGGAGGAAAGGAGAGAGAGGGAATATAGAAGAAGAAAAGGAGGAAAAGAGAAAGAGAGGGAATATAGAGAAAAAAAAGGAGGAAAAGGAGAGAGAGGGAATATAGAGTAACAAAAAAGAAAGAAAAAAGAGAAAGAGAGGGAATATAGAGCAAAAAAGGAGAAAAGAGAGAGAGAGAGAATAGAGAAAAAAAAGGAGGAAAGGAGAGAGAGAGGAATATAGAGTAAGAAAAAGGAGGAAAAGAGAAAGAGAGGGAATATAGAGTAAAAAAGGAGTAAAAGAGAAAGAGAATATAGAGCAAAAAAGGAGGAAAGGAGAGAGAGGGAATATAGAGTAAGAAAAAGGAGGAAAAGAGAAAGAGAGGGAATATAGAGTAAGAAAAAGGAGGAAAAGAGAGAAAGAGAATATAGAGCAAAAAAAGGAGGAAAGAAGAGGGAGGAATATAGAGTAAGAAAAAAGGAAAGAAAAAAGAGAATATAGAGTAAAAAGAGGAAAAAGAGAGAGAGAGGAATATAGAGAAAAAAAGGAGGAAATGAGAGGAGGGGATATAGAGTAAAAAAAGGAGGACGGGAGAGAGGAATATAGAGTCAGAAAAGGAGGAAAAGAGAAAGTGAGGGAATATAGAGTAAGAAAAAGGAGGAAAAGAGAGAAAGAGATAATAGAGCAAAAAAAGGGAGGAAAGAAGAGGGAGGGAATAAATGAGAGTAAGAAAAGGAGGAAAAGAGAAAAAGAGAGGAATATAGAGTAAAAAAAAGGAGGAAAAGAGAGAGGGAATATAGAGTAAAAAAGGAGGAAAAGGAGAGAGAGGGAATATAGAGTAAAAAAAAAGGAGGAAATGAGAGGAAAGGAGAGAGGGGAATATAGAGTAAAAAAAGGAGGAAAAGAGAGAGAGGAATATAGAGTAAGAAAAAAGAGGAAAAGAGGAAAGAGAGGGAATATAGAGTAACAAAAAGAAGGAAAAGAGAGAAAGAGAGGAAATAGAGTAAAAAAGGGAGGAATCAGAGAGAGAGGGAATATAGAGTTACAAAAGGAGGAAAGAAGAGGGAGGAAAATATAGAAGAAGAAAAGGAGGAAAAGAGAAAGAGGAAATAGAGTAAAAAAAGGAGGAAAGGAGAGAGAGGGAATATAGAGTAAGAAAAAGGAGGAAAGAGAGAGAGGGAATATAGAGAAAAAAAGGAGCAAAGGAGAGAGAGGGAATATAGAGTAAGAAAAAGGAGGAAAAAGGAGAGAGAGGAATATAGAGTAAGAAAAAGGAGGAAAAGAGGAAAGAGAGGGAAAAATAAAAAAAGGAGGAAAGGAGAGAGAGGGAATATAGAGTAAAAAAAGGAGGAAAAGGAGAGAGAGGGAATATAGAGTAAAAAAGGAAAAGAAAGGAGAGAGAAAAGAGTAAAAAAGGAGGAAAGGAGAGAGAGGGGAATATAGAGTAAAAAAAAAGGGAGGAAAGGAGAGAGAGGGGAATATAGAGTAACAAAAGAAGGAAAAGAGAGAAAGAGAGGGGATATAGAGTTAAAAAAAGGAAGAGAGAGAGAGGGAATATAGAGAAAAAAGGAGTGAAAAGTGAGAAAAGAGAGGGAATATAGGAGGTAAAAAAGGAGGAAAGGAGAGAGAGAGAATATAGAGAAAAAAAAGGAGGAAAAGAGAAAGAGGGAATATAGAGTAAAAAAAGGAGGAAAGGAGAGAGAGGGAATATAGAGTAAAAAAAGGGGAAAAAGAGAGGAATATAGAGTAAAAAAGGAGTAAAGGAGAAAGAGAATATAGAGCAAAAAAAGGAGGAAAGGGAGAGAGGAGGAAGAGTAAGAAAAGGGGAAAAGAGAAAGAGAGGGAAGATAGAGTAAGAAAAGGAGGAAAAGAGAAAGAGAGGGAATATAGAGTAAGAAAAAGGAGGAAAGAGAGAGAGAGAATATAGAGAAAAAAAGGAGGAAAGAAGAGGAGGGAATATAGAGTAAAAAAAGGAGGAAAAGAGAGAAAGAGGGAATATAGAGAAAAAGGAGGAAAAGAGAGACAGGGAATAGAGAAAAGGAGGAAAGGAGAGAGGAATATAGAGAAAAAGGAGGAAAAGAGAAAGAGAGGGAATATAGAGTAAGAAAAAGGAGGAAAAGAGAATATAGAGCAAAAAAAGGAGGAAAGGAGAGAGAGGGAATATAGAGTCAGAAAAAGGAGGAAAAGAGAAAGAGAGGGAATATAGAGTAAGAAAAAGGAGGAAAAGAGAGAAAGAGAATATAGAGCAAAAAAAGGAGGAAAGAAGAGGGAGGGAATATAGAGTAAGAAAAAGGAGAAAAGAGAGAAAGAGAGGGAATATAGAGTAAAAAAGGAGGAAAAGAGAGAGAGGGAATATAGAGTAAAAAAGGAGGAAATGAGAGGTAGGGGATATAGAGTAAGAAAAAGGAGGAAAGGAGAGAGAGGGAATATAGAGTAAGAAAAAAGAGGAAAAGAGTGAAAGAGAGGGAATATAGAGTAAAAAAAAGGAGGAAAGGAGAGAGAGGGAATATAGAGAAGAAAAAGGAGGAAAGGAGAGAGGGAAATAGAGCAATAAAAAGAAAGAAAAAAGAGAAAGAAAAAATAGAGTAAGAAAAAGAAGGGAAAGAGAGAAAGAGGGAAAAAAGATAAAAAAGGAGGAAATGAGAGGTAGGGGATATAGAGTAAGAAAAAGGAGGAAAGGAGAGAGAGGGAATATAGAGTAAGAAAAAAGAGGAAAAGAGTGAAAGAGAGGGAATATAGAGTAAAAAAGGGAGGAAAAGCAGAGAGAGAGGGAATATAGAGTTACAAAAAGGAGGAAAGAAGAGGGAGAAAATATATAGTAAGAAAAAGGAGGAAAGGAGAAAGAGGGAATATAGAGTAAGAAAAAGGAGGAAAGGGAGAGAGGGAATATAGAGTAAGAAAAAGGAGGAAAGGAGAAAGAGGGAATATGGAGAAAGAGGGAATATAGAGTAAGAAAAAGGAGGAAAGGAGAAAGAGGGAATATAGAGTAAGAAAAAGGAGGAAAGGAGAGAGAGGGAATATAGAGTAAGAAAAAGGAGGAAAGGAGAGAGAGGGAATATAGAGTAAGAAAAAGGAGGAAAGGAGAGAGAGGGAATATAGAGTAAGAAAAAAGGAGGAAAGGAGAGAGAGGGAATATAGAGTAAGAAAAAGGAGGAAAAGAGGGAAAGAGAGGGAATATAGAGTTAAAAAAGGAGGAAAGGAGAGAGAGGGAATAGAGTAAAAAAAAAAAGGAGGAAAGGAGAGAGAGAATATAGATAAAAAAAAAAAGGAGGAAAAGAGAGAGGGAATATAGAGTAAAAAAAGGAGGAAAGGAGAGAGAGGGAATATAGAGTAACAAAAAGAAGGAAAAGAGAGAAAGAGAGGGAATATAGAGTTAAAAAAGGAGGAAAGGAGAGAGAGGGAATATAGAGAAGAAAAAAGAGGAAAAGAGAAAGAGAGGGAATATAGAGTAAAAAAGGAGGAAAGGAGAGAGAGGGAATATAGAGAAGAAAAAGGAGGAAAAGTGAGAAAGAGAGGGAATATAGAGTAAAAAAAGGAGGAAAGGAGAGAGAGAGAGAATATAGAGAAGAAAAGGAGGAAAAGAGAAAGAGGAATATAGAGTAAAAAAAAGGAGGAAAAGAGAGAGGGAGGGAATATAGAGTAAAAAAAAGAAGGAAAGAGAGGGAATATAGAGTAAAAAGGAGTAAAGGAGAGAAAGAGAATATAGAGCAAAAAGGAGGAAAGGAGAGAGGGAATATAGGGAAGAAAAAGGGAAAAAGAGGAAGAGAGGAATATAGAGTAAGAAAAAGGAGGAAAAGAGAAAGAGAGGGAATAGAGCAAGAGAAAAGGAGGAAAAAGAGAGAGAGAATATAGAGCAAAAAAAAAGGAGGAAAGAAGAGGGAGGGAATATAGAGTAAGAAAAGGAGGAAAAGAGAGAAAGGGAATATAGAGTAAAAAAGGAGGAAAAGAGAGACAGGGGATATAGAGTAAGAAAATGAAGAAAGGAGAGAGAGGGAATATAGAGTAAGAAAAAGGAGGAAAAAGAGAAAGAGAGGGAATATAGAGTAAGAAAAAAAAGGAAAAGAGAATATAGAGCAAAAAAAAAGGAGGAAAGGAGAGAGAGGGGAATATAGAGTCAGAAAAAGGAGGAAAAGAAAAAGAGGGAATATAGAGTAAAAAAAAGGAGGAAAGAGAGAAAGAGAATATAGAGCAAAAAAAAGAGTAAAAAAGAGGCAAAAAAGGGAGAGGGAATATAGAGTAAGAAAAAGAGGAAAAGAGAGAAAGAGAGGGAATATAGAGTAAAAAAGGAGTTAAAGAGAGAGAGGGAATATAGAGTAAAAAAGGAGGAAATGAGAGGTAGGGGATATAGAGTAAGAAAAAGGAGGAAAGGAGAGAGAGGGAATATAGAGAAGAAAAAGGAGGAAAAGGAAAGAGAGGGAATATAGAGTAAAAAAAAGAAGGAAAAGAGAGAAAGAGAGGAATATAGAGTAAAAAAAGGAGGAAGGAGAGAGGGGAATATAGAGAAGAAAAAGGAGGAAAAGAAAGAGAGGGAATATAGAGTAAAAAAGGGAGGAAAAGCAGAGAGAGAGGGAATATAGAGTTACAAAAAGGAGGAAAGAAGAGGGAGAGAATATAGAGTAAGAAAAAGGAGGAAAGGAGAGAGAGGGAATATAGAGTAAGAAAAAGGAGGAAAGGAGAAAGAGGGAATATAGAGTAAGAAAAAGGAGGAAAGGAGAAAGAGGGAATATAGAGTAAGAAAAAGGAGGAAAGGAGAGAGAGAGGAATATAGAGTAAAAAAAGGAGGAAAGGAGAGAGAGGGAATATAGAGTAAAAAAAGGAGGAAAGGAGAGAGAGGGAATATAGAGTAAAAAAAGGAGGAAAGGATAGAGAGGGAATATAGAGTAACAAAAAGAAGGAAAAGAGAGAAAGAGAGGGAATATAGAGTTAAAAAAGGAGGAAAGGAGAGAGAGAATATAGAGAGAAGAAAAAGGAAAAAAGAAAAAGAGGGAATATAGAGTAAAAAAAGGAGGAAAGGAGAGAGAGGGAATATAGAGAAGAAAAAGGAGGAAAAGTGAGAAAGAGAGGGAATATAGAGTAAAAAAGGAGGAAAGGAGAGAGAGAGAATATAGAGAAGAAAAAGGAGGAAAAGAGAAAAGGGAATATAGAGTAAAAAAGGAGGAAAGGAGAGAGAGGGAATATAGAGTAAGAAAAAGGAGGAAAAGAGAAAGAGGGAATATAGAGTAAGAAAAAGGAGGAAAAGAGAGAAAGAGAATATAGAGCAAAAAAAAGAGGAAAGAAGAGGGAGGGAATATAGAGTAAGAAAAAGGAGGAAAAGAGAGAAAGAGAGGGAATATAGAGTAAAAAAGGAGGAAAAGAGAGAGAGGGAATATAGAGTAAAAAAGGAGGAAATGAGAGAGAGGGATATAGAGTAAGAAAATGGAGGAAAGGAGAGAGAGGGAATATAGAGTAAGAAAAAGGAGGAAAAGAGAAAGAGAGGGAATATAGAGTAAGAAAAAGGAGGAAAAGAGAGAAAGAGAATATAGAGCAAAAAAAGGAGGAAAGGAGAGAGAGGGAATATAGAGTCAGAAAAAGGAGGAAAAGAGAAAGAGAGGGAATATAGAGTAAGAAAAAGGAGGAAAAGAGAGAAAGAGAATATAGAGCAAAAAAAGGAGGAAAGAAGAGGGAGGAATAGAGTAAGAAAAAGGAGGAAAAAGAGAGGGAATATAGAAAAAAGGAGGAAAAGAGAGAAAGAATATAGAGAAAAAAGGATGAAATGAGAGAGAGGGGATATAGAGTAAGAAAAAGGAGGAAAGGCGAGAGAGGGAATATAGAGTAAGAAAAAAGAGGAAAAGAGTGAAAGAGAGGGAATATAGAGTAACAAAAAGAAGGAAAAGAGAGAAAGAGAGGGAATATAGAGTAAAAAAGGAGGAAAGGAGAGAGAGGGAATATAGAGTAAGAAAAAGGAGGAAAAGAGAGAAAGAGAATATAGAGCAAAAAAAGGAGGAAAGGAGAGAGAGGGAATATAGAGTAAGAAAAAGGAGGAAAAGAGAGAAAGAGAATATAGAGCAAAAAAAGGAGGAAAGGAGAGAGAGGGAATATAGAGTAAGGAAAAAGGAGGAAAAAGAGAAAAGAGAGGAATATAGAGTAAAAAAAGGAGGAAAGGAGAGAGAGGGAATATAGAGAAGAAAAAGGAGGAAAAGAGAAAGAGAGGGAATATAGAGTAAAAAAGGAGGAAAGGAGAGAGAGGGAATATAGAGAAGAAAAAGGAGGAAAAGAGAGAAAGAGAGGGAATATAGAGTAAAAAAGGAGGAAAAGCAGAGAGAGGGAATATAGAGTTACAAAAAGGAGGAAAGAAGAGGGAGAGAATATAGAGTAAGAAAAAGGAGGAAAAGGAGAGAGAGGGAATATAGAGTCACAAAAAGGAGGAAAGATGAGGGAGGGAATATAGAGTAAGAAAAAGGAGGAAAAGAGAGAAAGAGAATATAGAGCAAAAAAAGGAGGAAAGGAGAGAGAGGGAATATAGAGTAAGAAAAAGGAGGAAAAGAGAGAAAGAGAGGGAATATAGAGTAAAAATGGAGGAAAGGAGAGAGAGGGAATATAGTGTAAGAAAAAGGAGGAAAGGAGAGAGAGGGGATATAGAGTAAAAAAGGAGGAAAGGAGAGAGGGAATATAGAGAAGAAAAAGGAGGAAAAGAGGGAAAGAGAGTGAATATAGAGTAAAAAAAGGAGGAAATGAGAGGGAGGGATATAGAGTAAAAAAAAGGAGGAAAGGAGAGAGAGGGAATATAGAGTAAGAAAAAGGAGGAAAAGAGAGAAAGAGAGGGAATATAGTGTAAAAAAGGAGGAAAGGAGAGAGAGGGAATATAGAGTAACAAAAAGAAGGAAAAGAGAGAAAGAGAGGGAATATAGAGTAAAAAAGGAGGAAAGGAGAGGGAAGGAATATAGAGTAAGAAAAAGAAAGAAAAGAGAAGGTAGGGTCTTTGGTGTTTTTATGCCTTCTTGTTTTCTATTTTCTTTCCATTGTTATATGAGATTTTCAGCCTTAGTAAGCAGACACCAAAGTTAGAGTTTTATGCTAAAAACTAGTATCGACTTATCTCTAGAAAAATCAAATTTCACTCTCACTTTTCTTTTAGCACTTGGTAAATCACCTCCCACCTACTTATAAACGAAAGTATATTATTTCTCTTTATTTTTTCTTTTTTTTGGGGGGGGGTGATGGGGTGATATTGATCTTGAAGTGCAATTCAGAGGCTGGAAAAGAGGAGCAAAAAGAATTCTTGCTTGTAGCCACAGTCAAACCACAACAGACTTTATGGAATTCATTGCTAACCTTCGGGTAAAGCACACTGCTTCAAGAAAATATTTTTGACAAGTGAGCACTTACAAAAAAAAAAAAAATATATACAAAAAAAGCTAAAATAATAGATTTGTACACTCAAATAAAAAGAAAAAATACTGTGTATTTATTTCTGTATTTTTTTTTTTTAATAATGACAGCAGACATACAAGCCTATTTTAAGCCTTTCTTTATATAATAACATCCAATTTAATGGTATTTCTTGCTGCAACAACTTGTAATATGTTTACAAAGACTAGCTTAGCTTGACATGGGGCCAAATGGAGGCATACAAGTTGGTATGAGAAAGTTCCTGGAATATACTTACTATGATTCAATAAAAATGCGCATATAACTAATACTCTATAATACCCAGCCAAATGAGTCAATGTTTTGTTTTTTTTAAAATTTCACTCAATAAATCCACTAAAGGTCACAGAGTGTGAGAGAATAATAGAATAATAAAACAATATTAAGGAGAGAGGATAATAAAAGAACAGGAATAAAGAAAACAAAAATAACAACACTGCATTTCATTTTTTGAAGATCAAAGTTGAGTGGGAAGCAAGAAGCTGGAAAAGAGTTCCACAAGTGAGAAGTGAGAGAAGAAAATCTGTCTATATTTCTTAGATCAGGTATTGTACCTATTTATACTATTTACATCATTTGGACTGTTGTCCTCATCATTATTGCCATATTCATGATGTTTCAGCCATTGTATGCTCCAACCTTATACACTGGAATTTTGACCCTTACCCTTTATTTAGTCCATGGGCACAGATTGTCCTAATTCCATACCATGACTTTTTTTGGATATCTCAGTTTCAGTTAATACCCTTTAGTAACTCAAATCTCTGAGTTTTTGTTCCCTCTGTTGTGGCCAGGTATTGAACTCACAACTCTTTGGGTCAAGTCACTTTTTGGATCAATCAACCAACGCTTTTATCCACTGGGCCAAATTCCAGTGTATATCACCGGAAGAAGGTCAGAGCATACAATGGTTGAAACATTGTGAATATAGCAGTAAAAATGAGGACAAGAGTTTGAATGATGTAAACAGAGAAGAAACTGTTAATATAGAACTTACGATTATATCTAACCATTTCAACTGTAAAAGGATGAGACACTGCTGCTAATCTAGTAGTACACTTAAATTCATAAAGTCTAGGTACCAAAGATTTCTCAACAGAACTAACATGAAAATATTTATAGAAAAGGCACAGGGAAATACATTATGGTGGTGGGAAATTGAATGAAACTGATTTGCTAGGTCAGGACCAATAACATTGCAGATTCTTCTTTGGATTATATCAGGAATCTCTAAATCTATAGGAGAGACACCAGGCCAGATTTTGCAGCAATATTCAACGTATAGATGAATGTTAGATTTAAAAACGTGTCAGATTTGAGAAAAATTGTCTAGCATGATACAGTGAACTAACTTTCAAAGCAATTGATTCAATATAATCTTTCCACTTCACATCAGCAGTAAATGTTAGCCTGAGAAGTTACACAGCGTCACTCTTCTGATGGTTAACTCAAGGGAACTAATCATTATCAAAATGCAAAAGAACTTTTTAAAAATTCATGAAATAATCCCTGAAGATTATTGCCAAACAATCTATCAGCTTCATCACCTGATTGGAATCAGTCATGGAGTCTGCCAGAAAATCTTAGTATAATGTTATGTTAGCAATGTCAGATAATACAAAACTAAATTTTTCATATGTAAAATAATTGTTTATACACTTCCTGATGCTGTCAAATTAACATTGACCAATCAAGGGTATGTAGTTTTGGTTCTTTCTTCAAACATTCAATCTTGTGAAAATGTAAGGAGTTCTGCCTTCCTCCTTGTGGGTCAAGCATCTATACAACTTCCTATTGTCTGATCATCTTTTGTGTGCAAATCCTAAGTTCAGCTGGGTTCAATTCCTCTTTATGTCACTGCATCTACCAAGATCCTTTAAGGCTCAATTCTGCACTTTGTGACTATGAAGCTATCTTCAAGGTCAACTTTCTGAGCTACCTAGTTCACTTGACATTCTGAGGTGAGATCAAGTAAAAAGCTTACATACAGTACATATCGGGGTCACCACATATCAACTCCTCCTAGATGTTTATGGTGAGCATTAAATTTGATTCAGACCCCCGGCATTTCCTGGTGTTAATCACATGTTACACTGGTCTGGGTCCTGGGAAATTTTCCAATACTAAATTGTATAAGTGGTATTGCAGTTATCTGCTAGTTTCATCCTCAGTTTTGTATCTGCCAAGTCTCATTCTTGAAGAGCTATTACCATATCAGTGTAATCTAGGCAGCACCAAGTGCCAAATAATTTCTGGTTACTTGAAACACCAACTCCAAATGTATCTCCAAACTATCCATCTAACCAACTGTATCACTTTCTCATATTTCTTTACAACCATTCCACCATCTTTTCTAGGACAAAACTTTCAAATACAGGGTTAGAGGTGATATTACATAGCAGTGAGAGTATCCAATAGTTGTACCATCTTCCGAGTGAAGAAAGCCTGTTTACCTTGAAAAATCAAATCTGGTTATAAACATCAAATTTCCATACTCAAGATAGACATAGAACTGTTTTAAGTACAAAGTAAGGTCAAGGGTGAATATTTACTTGTCTTATCTTAGTAGAGCACAAGATTAAATAGTTAGAAATATGAAACTACCACAGTCACCAATCAAGCTCTAATTTGTGTTAATATATACTAGCAATACCTATGAAAATTTTATTTTTCCTGTTCTGAATTTTCTGAGTAGGAACTTGTAATTTAATAACTGAATACAGTGAGTCCCCTTTATTTGTGGGGGTAAGGGACCAGAACTGGACGCAAATAGTTAGAATCCGCAAATACTTGTAACCCCCACCCACAAAAGTGCTTATAAATACCAATTTTGATTGTTAGAACCTCATATGCCTTAAATTTTCATCCTAAACACTTTAGAAACATTTCAGACACTTTGTAAAACATTTTTGAAAAATAGTATTGGTGACCATACACTTAGCATAAATTTTCTTTCATACGGACAATAACTGTTTTTAATTACGCATAAACTGATACAACCATTGAAAATACTGTATAAAATATGTGTAACAAAACATACAATATAAAGTTTAAAATTTTTTCTGAAAACAGAACTGTGACGAAGCTACTTTTATGACCCCAGCCACATCCCCTAACAAAGAACAAAACCCAAGCACTACACATATTTTTGAATTTGTTTTTTTACAATGAAGATGTACAATTCTGACAATTTTTATCATAAAAATGGACTGTTATATGTTTTAGGTCACTTAAATAACAGGAAAGTAATACAAGAATATTTTAAATATATTCTATCGAAAAGATACGAGAATTGAAAGAGTTCTCAACGAATAATTTGTATACATGTTCTTCAGAAAAACACGCAAATACTTGGGGTTTCTGTAAATAACAAGTACATAAGTTCTAAAGAAAAGTCTGCAAATGTGTGAAGCTGCAAATGCTGAAACATGAATAGGCGAGGCCTCACTGTATGTAACTTACAATATTTACTACTATAAAATACCCATGGAAATTCTACTATTGTAACATTAAATATTTCAGCTTAACTTTAACAAAATATATGAAACAATTGTTTTTATTATTTATATCATATTTTTGTCATTTCTGTCTTTGTATCCTGACTACCACCTAAAGTATATTTCATTAATGATTGATGAAGCAATTTGTTTTGTTACAGGTTATCAAGCCTCCATGGGTTTCTTAAAGCCAAAACACATTTTAGATTCTAAGAATAATTCTTCATTTTTTTTGTTTTTGCAAGTGAATATTTCATTAACAATTTTGAAAGAACAATAATTTTCCCAGAGACAAGTCTTACTATTTAATCCATAGCTGGGGGAAGAGATGGATTCATAACTTTCCCAAGAGTATTTTCTTGTAAGTGAATGTAATGAACTCAACTGGAATTTGAACTCACCTGATTTCTCATTCTGAGCCACTATCTCTTACACCACCATGCACACACACACACACACTCAATAAATCAATAAAAGTTCAATAGACTTATCCCAATTCACCAACTTCAAAGTTTCATATCAAATCACTCTTTAGTGCCAAATGTTTTATTGAAATTATCATAAAATACGATTTATAATACTCAGAACAAATAATAATCATAAATTTCAAAATTACCGTATATACTCATGTAACATGTGATCTCACGTACTGTGTGACCCCCAAATTTTCACTTATAACAAATAATTTTATCATGTATCTCATGAGTTCCTTTTATGAAAGACCAAATTACAATAGAGACTAACCTCTTTTCCTCTATCTCTTTATCCCATCTTCTAGTTAAATAAGTTAAAATTTACAAGAGAATGATAAAAGTATCATTAGTAATGCTATACTCATTGCATAAATGTGTACAGCCAAAAATAACCGAATGAGAAACAGCTAAACATCTTATAAATGTAAACAATGAAAAAGATGGATATTTGCTATGTTTATATTTTCTAATACGATACTAATATGTGAATATTACATGCATTATTATTGGATACAGTTAAGTAAAAGATCAGTTTTATCAAAATCATATTTAAGTACAGCTGTATGACAAAATAGATATATAGTTTGGCCAGCAGTAAATACGCTAATTTTATATCTCGTGTATGACGTGACCCCCTTAAAATTAGCTTCAAAATTAGCTCTTCAAAAGTCACATGATATGGTGTATGTCCCCCGCTCCCACACACACACATACAAATATCAGTGATATTAACTGGGTATTGAACTCACACTCTTTGGGTCCTGTCACTGGATCTAACTAACGCCTTTATCCAATGTGCCATGTGTTCAATACCTGGTTAAGGCAGTGGAGAACTTTCAGAGGGAAATTAACAAGGAGATAACTAATAACTGACATCCATTAAACATGGCACGTGGAACTAGAACAGTCTACTCCAGTGAGTGAAATAAAGGGTTCAGTTCGACATTCCAACCACCTGAAGAAGGCCGGAGCATACAAAGGCAGAAACATTGTAATAAATATAGCGACAAAGATGAAAACAATAGTCCGAATAATGTAAATATACATTATACCTCATCTCAGAAATATAGACAGATACAAAACAGAATGGTTCATTATTTGAGGCAAAGACAGAGCATAATAGATTTGATTTGTTTAACAGTATATCAACTCATTTTGGGTCATTTAATGTCGAAATTTAATTTTCTTGGGACCTTTGAAGTAATAAAAATATATGTTATTTTGCTTTCACAATTGAATATATGGTAGTGGATACTCAGCTTTTGTATATATACATGTTTGCATGGACATAATTATAAGAGGTGGTGATGTATATGTTTTATGTTGTAGTTTTGTTGAAGTAATATTTTAATAAATTGTCGCATATTATATAGATTAACATTCATGTTGCTTGATTATGTTTAGAAACATATCAATCTCTATGGATTATTTAATACCAAAATCTAAATATTTTGAACAATGTTATAGCTTCAACTAAATAAATTTTGAATACAATTATATGTCTACAACTACAGATAAAATGTATTGTTGGTATTTTTAGATAAAAATGTATTTTTATACTTTCATAGCATTTTGTTTTGTTTGGGGGTTCACTATTTGCCCATAGCTGGGACCCTAACAGGTGCTACCACCCCAGGTCAAGATGGGCCTGGAAAGAATAGCAATTAAGAGGTGGTTTCACATTCCTCAAAACCTCCAATCTCTAAGTCAGAGGCCTTGCTGTTGGATATAGTTTATCATTACCCAGGACTAAGCATAACAGAGGAATAAGCAGAATTATATGATGTATAGTGTGTGGCTTACCTGAGATCATGCCAGAATATGCACTCAGTGTAAGACTAGAAAGGTCAGACAGGAGGTCATCCTGGCCACCAATGCAAATCTGTAACTCACGGGATGCCAGCCACTGCCCCAACATGTGAACAGGTGATGGACATGCATGAGAAAGAACTTATATGACAGAGACAGATATAAAACAAATACCCCAAAGAGAAAAGACAATCTCTATCAGATATCATATACAAGACTGTAAGGTGTGTGTTTAGATGAGGGCAGAGGGCTTCACATACACACTGGCCAACAGTAATTGATGAAGTCCAGAGTTGAAATATAGATGTATTCTTATGTATAAAAGATTTAGTCCTGTTTTCGTTTGGTCCACATAACAATAACTCATTCCATACATAATATATCAAACTCAATGCATAATATATATCCAGTGAGAGTACATTTTAAATGATATCGGTATAATTGTGTTTTCTAATTTTTGGTGATAGGACAGGTGATAGTTTCTTATGGGATGAAAATAGCAAATTTGTGATGTTTTGGATAAGTTCTGTTCATCCAAAGAATTTCCATTTGCTGAATAAATATAAATTTGATAATTTCTGTTTTAATTTATTTGCAACAGTATTATCAAATTTCATATGATGTTTCAATTTATACAAGGTGTAATTTCTACCACACCTGACTATATATATATATATATATATATATATATATATATATATATAATATTAATATAATAATATATATATATATTAATGGTCATATATATATATATATATATATATATATATATATAATATTAATCTTACTTATTATAAAACGCAGATTGTGTGTGTGTGTATGTGTGTGTCTGTAACGTTTATATATTGGATCGGATTTCCTACATTTTTCAACCGATTTCAACAAAACTTCACAGGACTACATAAAATTACCTTGTGGTGGTTCTAACAGCGCCAAAAATGGGAAAAATATGATCGTTTTTGCACAAAATCAATTTGAAAACACGATTAAGAGACTTTGTGAAAATGGAAGGGGGCCAACTCATATCGGGTTGTTTGTGTGTGTGCGTGTGTGTGTGGGTTACTTTAAATATGGCAGCGGATTTCCTATATTTTTCAGCCGACAAAAAAAAAACTTCTTTTTTTTTTTTTTGGCATGTAGTGTTTCTTATTCTCTTGCAAAAATTTTTTTCTTTATTTTAACATTCAGAATGCTTTAAAAATTCCATTTACAAGACAATTATTTATAATAAAATTCTATTCAATCAGTAGACTCATAACGATTGAAAACAATGTTTTTGTTTGAGTTTGACCAATTCAGAAAAAAATAAAAAAAAAAACTAATTAAGACATGCGTGTCCGTCAACCTTAAACAATAATCTAACGATCTCTACTGACTGTATGAATACAAACAGCGGATAAATTCTTTATCTTTAGGGAAAGATAATGAAATCTAAACATACACAAGTCTTAACTAAAAATAATAAATGGAACGGGAAACTACCTTAAATACACATGGTGTCCAATTTTTTTACTGTATTCAATAAGTAAAAATTGTAAATTGTAAAAGATTATTATTACAGAAAGGCTACTAAATGAATAAGATTTGTTAGATCATAATTAATAAACCCAAATAAAGTTAATATTTTTGTATTAGAAACAACGAGTGGAAAATATATTCAAATCAGAATTCTAATTATGAATCACCACAAGCAAAAATATGCAATTTTTTTTACTGTATTCAATAAGTA